AGTCCCATTGTTTCTTAGGTTGGCCTGTTGCGGGTCTCCCAGAGCACCCACCTCAGTCTCTCCTCCCCATTTGCCCAGGAACACACACCACGTGCCTCTTCGGTCTTCATTGGGACTCTAAGCACGTTATGATCAGCGCAGGAAGCCCCTGCGGAGCTCATTACCAGAGGCTGGATTCCCTCCTCTAGCTGCGTTGGAATGCCACGAGCTTAATGCTCGCCTCTTCCTGGATAACGCCAACCCGTCTCTCTGTTTCCCAGTTGTGGGTCTTGCTGGGTTTCCCCTCTTCTTTTCCCTTCCAGCTTGGGACTGTGCAGAGCTGGAAAGTTCATTTTTAAAAAAGGAATAAATTTGAGTTCAACATGCTCCCAAAGGGACAGGTTCCAGTTCACAGTTGTCCCTTTCCAAACCAAAACTAGTTTGGTTCATGTCCAGTGCTCACAGTTCACTTCAAGGTAATCCAAATGATCCTCAGTAAAAAAAAAAAGTTTTGTTTTAAGGATTCAGAATGTTACAAGCTGCTGTGCCAAAGTATAAAATAACCAAGTGGAGGCGAAGAAAAACTTCAATTCGGTGGGATGTGACTTGGTTAATTTGTTTCCCTCGCAATTATGTTCTTTGAGCTTAAAGGCCCAAAGAATCTGAAAGAGTTTTTTAAAACTTAATAGAACGAACTTGAAGATGAAGTAGAAATTGCAGGAAGTTCTGTCACCAAATGAACTTAATTCACATTCTGTTCACCTGCCAATTATGGAAATCCTTCTTGGGGATTTTTTGAACTAATGCAGTGAACTTTGTTCATTTGATGCATTGATTGTGTGAGACGGTAGAGTCTGAAAGAGGGACCAAGGCCTTCTTGGGTAGAGGATGGAGAAGAGGTGAGTTTGCGAATAGCCCCTAGCTTATTTCACAAATGTGTTTGTTGCTCCGCCCCCATCAGTGGCACGTGACCACAGAAGGGAAGGGGGCCCTTGGCTGAAAAACGTCCCCCAACCTTGAAGTGCTGCCCTCTGCCCCCTTGTAATGGCATCTCCCCCACAGCACACATGCCAACGGTTCTCTGTGAGCCAACGGGTCAGGCAGACCATGATTTGGCTTTGTGGGTCTGCCGGCATCTGTGGCCAAACGTAATGCTCTCCTGAGCAGCTGATTAAAAACAAAAAGACAAGTTGCTTCCCTGCATGGCGAGGCCAGTGATCAGAAAAGCCAAGTCAATGTGCCCAAAGCCTTTGGCTCCTTCTGGGTCTTTGCATCAAGATTGCTCCTTTGATTTGGGTGTGAGTGTGGAGAGAGCAGAATTTCTGAGCAGGCCCTATTGATCTTTGCCTCCAGCTCACCCAAGGTGGGGTGTGTGTGTGTGTGTGTTTGTGTAAAGATTTCTGTGTGCTGTTTGGCTTCTAGGATCTCTACGGTGAGGGCTGTCTGTCTGTCTGTCTGTCTGTCTGCTGAGCTGCCTCTACCTGCTCCCCGCCCCCTTGCCATGAAAAGCGGAGGGGGGAAAGTGCATCCTTTCATCCATTATTGATGCCTTGGTGATCCAACCCGATCTTTTGGGGATGGAGAGTGGGAGGGGAGGGGAGCGAGATTAAAAGGGTCATGTGATCAGGCAGCATGCAATTTTCCTAGAGGCCCAGATATCCGCCTAAGCTAAGAGAGGACCAATTACCGGATGAAATGCCAGCAGCTACACTTAAGAGGCGAAAGCGGTTAAAAAAAAAATGAGGAGGAGGAGGTGGAGGGGGACCCAGGGTGGTTTCAGGGCAGCATTTCCCCCCTAAAGCAGGCATCCCATTAACACGTTGTGGGGGACTGTGACTCCATTAAGATGGCCTCCCCAGCGATGGGCGATATCAAATGGCTTGTGAAGAAATGGTCATTAATTTTTCATTGCTTGGAGGAGAGGGGAGCTTGGCGGGGGGGGGGATTTTAAAGGCAGAGTAGCCCAGAGCAACAGCTGGGGAGACGCAGAGGAACATCCCAGGGACAAGGAGCAAAGCCACTCATCCATCTGGTGTCGAAGGCAGCCCAGCTCCAAGGCTGCCAGATGAGTCCTCCTCGCTTTGTCTGGTGGGGCTCAGAAAGCGCTTCTGACCCTGAAGGGGTTGTCTCTCTCTCTCTCTGTGTGTGTGTGTGTGTGTGTTTGCCGCCTTGCAACCCTTTCAAGAAATGGTTACCTGTATGCCACAACAGCTGCAAGAATATTGCTAACAAAGAATTGGAAGAAACAAGATTTACCAACTATTGAAGAATGGCAGATGAAGATGATGGACTATATGGAACTTGCCGAACTGACCGGGAGACTCCGAGACCAGAGAGAAGAGACGATGGAAGAAGATTGGAAGAAGTTTAAGGAATATTTGAAAAAATATGTTAATAAGTAAATCTTAGAATAGCTTTGGAAGGGATATAGGCTGTAGGGTTAGAAGTAGAAGATAGTGTATTTTATAAGTGATAAAATGTGAAGTTTTTTATGGTTAAAGTAAGTGTGGGGGGGAGATGGTTAGAAATTATGATATATGTAAACTACTAAAGATGAAGTAAAATGAAAATCAGATAGGTGGGACTTGGGGAAGCCCACTTAACAATGTTTAGAAAAATAAGGATATGACAAGAATTTGTTTGTCTTTTCTGTTTGTGTTTTTTATTTGTGTTATAAAATGAATAAAAAAATTTGGGGGAAAAGAAGAAGAAATGGTTACATCCACTGTGGTCTTTGCTTGAGATTCGGAAGGGGGTGAGAATGCCAAGGCCTTCATTTGATCAGCAGATAGAAAACATATGAATTTGAGTCCAACTGATTGGCTGCATTTCAATTCAACTGTTGGTTTGGGAAATGAAAATTAAGTACGTTGGCATTAAAAAAGTGAACTGTACCAATTCTTCCCTGGTTCCTAGTCTCTGGTTCTCAGGCTCAGGAGGCAAGACCGGAGCCAGACCCTATGCAGGGCAGGTTCAATATATTCCCAGGCACGCACTCCTCTAATTTAGCACTTCAGTGCAAAACCAATCAGACACAACCCTAGGAATTATGGGAGTTTGGTTCATTCCATGCTTGTGGTGGGTGGGGTACAGCATGACCTTTCTGTATTGGACTTCTTTCTCTGCACTGCTTCAAGGAAAGCTAAAATTCATGGATATATAATTTCATGCAGTCAGGGGCTATCAGTGGCTGCTGGCTATGATGGCTCTGCTCTGTCTCCCCAGCTGGAGGCAGTACTTTTTCTGAATCCCTGGAAGACACAAGATCTACCCACCCGGGAAGAATGGCAGATGAAGCTGATGGATTACATGGAATTGGCGGAAATGACTGGCAGAATCCGAGACCAGGGAGAAGAGTCGGTGGAAGAAGATTGGAAAAAATTTAAAGTATATTTACAGAAACATTGCAAAATTAATGAATGTTAGAAGGATGCTGGAATGAAGTTACATGGTTTTAGTAGAAAGGTTATAAAGAACTAAGTAAAAATGGATTGTTAATGGGTCAAAGTGTAGAATTTAAGGCCAAATTGTGTTAAGATAAATTATAGAACAAAAATTGAGAAAGATGGAAAGGATTTGCTGAAATAGCTATTTGAATTAGAATACAAAAAAGGGAGGTGTGAGGAGGTCGATGAAACAAGTAAATGAAAGATAAAGATATGGAAATACTGGATATGTTTTTAAATGTTTTTGTTTTTAAATGTTTTTGTTTTTCTTATTGTTTTGTTGTACTTTTTTATTGTGCTTTTTATTTTTGAAGTATTGTAATGTTTTATTGTCTTTTTTCCTTTTTCTGTAACTGTTAAACCTTTAATAAATATCATTTTATATAAAAAAAGTAATTTTTCTGAATCCCAGTTGCTGGGAACCACAGGAAGGGAGTGTTGCTCTTGTGCCCAAATTCTGCTTGCTGGCTTCCTTTTGGCGCATCTGGCTGGCCACTGTGAGAAAGCCACTTCCGCCCTGCAGAGGAGAATCCCCGGCCGCGTCACTCCCTGGCCAGCCAATCAGCTGGCTCTGGGGGCGTGGCCTGCCCTATTTAACACAGGCGTGGCCGGGGATCTCCCTCTTTTCCCGCCTACCAGCTGTTTCTGTTTCCCACCCTCCCACCCTTTAAGGTTTTCGTTCCTTGACCTTGCTATGGACCTCAGTTGGTCGCCGTTGAGGGGCCTGGTAGGAATTTTTCCCACTTGGCAAATTGGCACCAGCCACTTGGTTTTCTGCCTACCTCGTAGCAAATCGTCACAACTTTCTTGGTATTGGTGATTAGGCATTGGTATTGTTTTGTAGATGGAAGAGGGGAGGAAGCGCCATCACCTGCCCCACAATTTGTAGGGTAGTCCGATAAAGGACTCCAGGGGGCGTGGCCCTGTCCAAAACTGTGGAGGTGAGAGCCAAAGGCACGCCTCCTATCGGTGACCCCAGGGGAGTTCCTAGTTGATGTGCATCAGCAGGACTCCCTCTACTGGTGGTTAACCCTTCCCGGACTTCAAGCAGACGGGCTGAAGTCAGATATAGTCTGTTAGGACCAATGCCTAAGCCAATACCGCTTATCACCTGTAACCAATAAATTTGTGGCCTTATTTAGCCCATTAACCTTAATAATTGTGTTATGTGTCTTTATTTCCACGGGGGGGCGGGACTCGCCACGCAACAGGATGCCGAACTACATGGGCCATTGACCTGATCCTGCAGGGCTCTTCCTATGTTCTTATAATTTCTGATCTGCTCTGGCAGTAATTGCCACTTTTTTAAAAAAGAAGAAGAAAAAGATTGCCTTAGATTTTGCACAGAATAAACAGCATAAACGGATAATTATGGAACACTATATAAATGCTGGGAACTTGCTAATTAGCACTCTGGTTCCTGCTCATGGTGCCGCCTGTGAATGCTCCTTGATGGGGGCTCTTAACCCTTCCTCTCCCTTCCCCGCCTCTCTCTCCCCAAGTACCTTCCTCCCCTCTTCATCATTCCTTCAGGGAATTAGTTCTTTGGTGTGTGATAATAGGCGCTCATATAAATGGGTAGCAAAGACCTTGGTAATGATGGCTGTTTCCAAGGAACACTGCGGCAAGAGTGAAGTGTAAATAATGGTGTTGATTAGCTGGATCGATACAAGCCCAAAATTAAAACGCGGTCACGGCAAGCCTCTGAAAGCAGGTAAAACATGTCTGTTTCCCAGAAGAGACAGAGTGATAGATTCCCCATTATGTACATACTAGCAGTGATGGCACATTCCAAGATAGAGAAGGAACATGCCATGTCATATAACAGGATTGTTTTCTTGGTGGTGGTTTTAACTAAGTTGGTGGTTTTAACTAAGGTGTATTTATAATTATTTGTGCATTTCGATGTGGCAGAAATGGCTTTTGTAAAATGCTTAGAAGCTTACTTGGGGAGGGATCATTTTGCTATGTATTTCTTCTCTCTCTCTCTCTCTCTCTCTCTCTGATGTGTGTGTTTGTGTGTGTGTCAAATTCTCCAACCGTTCCGGCCAGTTTTCCTGACTCCTTTACATGCTTTTTCAGAAAGAAGCCCCGTCGTATTGAATAGGGCTTGCTACTTATAACTGTGTTTAGGATGGCAGGTAGCTTTTGTGAGAAGTTAGTTTTTCCTTTAAGAAATAGTGCGCTCACACAGCTTAAATGAGTCACATTTCCTCTTCTCTCTTTCTCATTTGGCCTTTTCTTCCAGTTTAGAGCAGCTTCCATGCACCAGGCAAGTCTTCAGCCTTGACACTTGAAAACGTGGCTGCTCTCCAGTTTCAATCTGGTTTCCCTGGAAACCCCAGAGCCGCCTGCTACTTAGCAGTTTGTGGGAAGCCAGAGTTGAACCATCAGCAGAGGTGGCTGGTACCAAGTGGGAGTGCGAGGGAGCAAGGCAAGGAGGCCAATGGCAGACAGAGCGAACTCAGCCTAGTTTAGTCCCCCTCCTCTCCCTCCTTGCTGAGCTCTAAGGGGCAACACTGAGACTAAGAGGAGGTGTGGTACATATGGTTGAGATAGAGGTCACGTCGTGGTGGAGGGAAGTTAAACAACATAATAGATTGTATATTGATTTTTGTATCTGTTTATTTCTTTTTGTTCTGTTTTAACAATATGGTATATGTGTTTTTAGATGTTGGAATATAATAAAAAATTTTTAAAATCAAAAAAAAAAAAAAAAAGAGACTAAGAGGAGGAAGCCAATAGGCATAGAATCATGGAATCATCTAGTCCAACATCCTGCAAAGGAAGAATCTCAACTAAAGAATCCATGACAGATGCCCATCAAACCTTTGCTGCATCACACTGACTCTAGATCATCTTCACATGTACTACTGACAAGCAGTGGCGTAGCGTGGGTTGTCAGCACCCGGGGCAAGGCAAGTAATTTGCGCCCCCTAACCCGTGGATTTTAGTAGGGGCAGAGAGCTGCGAGTGCGAGCGCCCACCCCCAGATGTTGCACCCGGTGCGGCCGGCCCCCCCTGCACCCCCACGCTACGCCACTGCTGACAAGCCAGGTGTCCTCCATCTTACACTGGTGTAACTTGCTTTTTCCTGCATAAGTGTAGAACCTGAAATTTGTCCCTGTTGAAATTCATGTTGTTACTTTGGGCCCAGTTCTCCAGTCTGTTAAGATCATATTGAATCTCAATACTGTCTTCTGTGACATTAGCTACCCCTTCCAGTTTGGTGCAGATCCTCCCAGTGTCCCTATTTTCCAGGGGTCTCCCTAATTTAGAGAAGCCGTCCCAGTTTCTGATTTGATCCTGGAGTGTCCCACTTTTCCTTAGGATGTCCCTATTTTCATTGGAGAAACGTTGGAGGGTATGGAGTTATCCAACCCCTGAGCCATCTGAGGGCAATCCTGTACACGGAGGTTTTTTAAAAAAATGTTTAATGTTTTATTACGTTTTTGGAAGCCGCCCAATGTAGCTGGGGCAACCCAGTAAGATCTGTGTGGGGTATAAATAGTAACGTTATCATTATGGAATGGAACGTCCCTATTTTCATCAGAGAAATGTGGGAGGGTATGTTGGTGTCATTCCGAAGGTGATGGTGAATTTGTCTGGATGGCTGGAAGGTTGAGACCTTGTCTGGTTGTCTGGATGGCTGGAAGGTTGGCATATGACCTTGAAGACCTTGTCCTGCTCTGTCCCAGTTCCCAGGGTGTCCAGTTTGGTCACGTAGCAACGAAATGGATTATCAAGCCAGGCCCTCCGGAGAGTGCATGGCAGAAGGAAGCGAATAAAGCAGACTTTCAAACACCCTTTCAGTTCTGATTTCATTAAGAAGGCTTATGCGTCCTGAGTCAGAAAAGAGCCTCTGTTTGCTGTTCCAAGGCCTCCCAGATTTAGTGGCCTGGTATTTGTGATTTAACAGGATTATGTTGCCGCTTTGCAGTGGGTTGTATAAGATCCAGTGTGGTACCTAGATTTGTGCCATGACTAGTGGAAGGTGTTTGAAAGCATATAAAGTAGTCAATGCTAGTCTTACGCCTTGAAATGCGTGAACCAAAGGCAGCCCTGCTTTCAGTCCTGACAACATAGCACTTTGCAGATGGAGACCTACAGCTCAGAGTGAAGGTCTGAACCTGGGGATACACTGATCTGTAATGCAGTCTTGGGGCCACAGCGCAGCATTCTTTCTCTGAAAGCCGAAGTCCGCCTTGATCTGTGATGGTTTGCTCAGCATCAGCCACCCAGTTGTTGGGGCCAGTGTGGTGTAATGGGTAGAGTCTTGGACTATGACCTGGCAGATGAGGCTTCGAATGGCGCTCAGTGGGTGACCTTGAGTCAGCCACTACCTTCTCTCAATCTCACCTACCTCACAGGGATTAAATGAAGTGGGGGAGATCTATGCACACCACATCAAGCTCCTTTGAGAAAAAAGGTGGTCAATGCAATAAGTGAACAAACCCAGCTTTGAAGTCACGACTCCTCTTCTGTTTCTCCTAGAAAAACCACCTCGGATGAAGACAACAAGCAGCCAGCCCAGGGCGTGACTCACGTGGCTGCCCAGCCAACCCACAGACCGATCTGGGAGGAGACAGTGACTGTGGAAATGAACAAGGAGAAGGCAGGAGAAGAAGGTGTGCAGTGCAGGAAAGGGCCACAAGGCGCTCTCCTCTTGGGGTGGGAGGCCCTCTAATGTAGTAGCTTAGGCCCAGGCTATATTGCTTTTAAGGGACGCGGGTGGCGCTGTGGGTTAAGCCACAGAGCCTAGGACTTGCCGATCAGAAGGTTGGTGGTTTGAATCCCCACGACGAGGTGAGCTCCCGTTGCTCGGTCCCTGCTCCTGCCAACCTAGCAGTTCAAAAGCAGGAAGTGCAAGTAGGTACTGCTCCAGCGGGAAGGTAAACGGCGTTTCCGTGCGCTGCTCTGGTTTTGCCAGAAGCGGCTTAGTCATGCTGGCCACATGACCCGGAAGCTGTACGCCAGCTCCCTCGGCCAATAAAGCGAGATGAGCGCCACAACCCCAGATTCGGCCACGACTGGACCTAATGGTCAGGGGTCCCTTTACCTTTACCTATATTGCTTTTAACACTCTTTGTTTTACTTCTGTCAATGTGACTGTTGATGCATATTCTACCACACAAGGCTGTGCGTGGCTAACAGAAAAGCTACTGCATGCCAAGACACACCCTGCCGCTCCTAGTAGCACACACCAGAGCAGAGGCAACAGACCTCTGGCCCACAGGCTGCTCAGCGCCTCAGGCCTCCCCAGTTTGGTCCACGAGGCCATTTCAGCCAAGCCACGTATATGAAGCCAGGCAAAGGCAGGGCTGAAAGGGGCTTTGCAGGCACGACACATTAGCTGGGTCTGCAAAGCCCCTTGCCCAGCACTTCCCAACCACCAGGCACAAATCAGCTGTGCTGCCTGCATTGCAGTGTGTGGATTCTATGATTCGGAGTTACTTTGGAAAGAAAGTAAAGGTTCCACTTTTTTTTGCAATCTCTCTTATTACAAATTTTGAAATAAAAATAGCGAACAATAAAAGGATATCCATAAGTTCTGAGAAAAGACATTCAGTTCGATAACATTGTCAGAGGTTCAGACAGAAAGGGATCTCTCCAGAAAAAATATGGTTTCTGTGTCCCATTTCTTCCTTTCTCAAGAGCATAACAAATTAACAGGTGCAAAAAGCACTCACTCTTACAAGGAAGCAGTTTCTATTCAAAGTGTGTTGTTGAATGCAAACTCAATTCTCTGTAGACACTAGAGTAAGAATTGCACTGAACACAGAAGCCTCACCTTCAGTCTCTACAGGCCCCACTTCCTATTAACACCAGCTTCTGAGATTTCCCTGGCATCAAATGTTGTTGTTTAACACTGGAGAAAGATGGCGGCATGAGCATTGTGCTAGAGGCACTCCGGCTGTAAGCACGGGTGAAAAGGTAGCACCTTAAAAGCCTGCTGAGCTTGTTTGACAAAAATGAGCATGTGGGAATGGAGAGTCTGTGACCTTCCAGATATTGCCGGACTCCCGCTGGCCCCCAGCTAGCATGACTAGTGGTTATGGATGATGGGTACTGGAGTCCCATAGGGCTAGAACCCTGCTTGTTCAAAAAGGAAAGCGGAGATCTCTTGGGTATTGAATCTTTCAGCTGACACAGAATTGCACGCACCTACACACACTCACACAGAGAGAGGAAGACAGAGACAGTCATCTCCCAGCTCAATTATCTATCTGATGGGGAAATGATTGTTGATAATTTTTACATTTTTCCAAGGCAGTGGCCATGTGCCCTGGTGACTTTATCTTGATCGTTCCAAGCTGAGCAATGTTATGTGGGTAATTGTAGCAATGCTAATGGCATTAGCGCCCGCAATTAGATTATTGCCAGACTCTGGCGAAACAAAGCCAGTGGCAGCCAGACAACCCACTCCTCGTAATTCCATTACAGCTGTTGCTTAAGTGAAATAAAGCAGCGCTTGATGTACTCCTCTACCTAACCTAGCCTGGAACGATTGAGAGAGACAAGAGTCTGTATTCTTTCAGGGTCAGACCCTTAAATGGTGCAAATCAAATTCAGATGAGCCGTTCATTTACACAAGCCGGAATATATATATATATATATGGGGGGGGGGGAGAAGCTGGCTGTGTGCATACTTTTTGTCTTGCAGCTTCAGTCTCCATCTGTCCACTGGCATAAGTAAGTCAGTTCAATCCATTGATTGAGGACTGATTCAGACGATGCTTTTAAAGGGCGAAACAATGTCAGTTGGAACTGACTGTGTGATGAAGGGCACTTGATGACTCCATCATGTAGCCAGGTAACCAGTCAGTCTATGACCAAACTGAAGGAGTGCATTAATTGAAGTACTGTAGATGGTGCTGTCAGCCTTGTTCTGGACCAAGATGGTGCAACTTGCCTGAACTATTGGCTGTGGACTGTTGCTGGACTTTGCCGGTGGATCATGTTTTGGCTGATGATTTGCGAGTAACCTGGGCTTATATGGACAGCACTACTATTGGAACCCTGCTCTTGTTGGTGAGTGTTTTAGCAAGAGGCTTAGAACCACAGAATCTACAGAATTGTAGAGTTGGAAGGGACCCCAAGGGTCATCTAGTCCAACCCCTGCAATGCAGGAATCACAGCTAAAGAATCCCTGACAGATGGCCATCCAGCCTCTACTTAGAAACCTCCAAGGAAGGAGAGCCCACCTGCTTCTGAGGGAGTCTGTTGCACTGTCAAGCAGCTTTTACCCTCAGAAATTTCTTCCTAACAAGAGAGAGTACAGTATTTGTAACAAAGGGGATGACTTACTTGAGGTGTATGCGGAAATCCTAGCAGTGGCTCACCCTCTTCTCTGAAAATAGCAAGCCCCTGGTGAAGGGGTGTGTGTGTGTGTGTGAGAGAGAGAGAGAGAGAGAGAGAGAGAGAGAGAGAGAGAGAGAGATTTCAGTTTAGCCCTAAACCAGGCATGGCCAAACTTGGCCCTCCAGATGTTTTGGGACTACAGTGGTACCTCAGGTTAAGAACTTAATTCATTCTGGAGGTCCGTTCTTAACCTGAAACTGTTCTTAACCTGAAGCACCACTTTAGCTAATGGGGCCTCCTGCTGCCGTCTCGCCGCCGGAGCACGATTTCTGTTCTCATCCTGAAGCAAACTTCTTAACCCAAGGTACTATTTCTGGGTTAGCGGAGTCTGTAACCTGAAGTGTCTGTAACCCAAGGTACCACTGTACAATTTCCAGCATCCCTGACCACTGGTCCTGTTAGCTAGGGATGATGGGAGTTGTAGTGCCAAAACATCTGGAGGGCCAAGTTTGGCCAAGCCTGCCCTAAACCAAGCCATTTCAAAACAAAAAAACTCCCCAAAGGATTGTTCCTCTTTCAGGGCAACCTGAAAGCATTTTGCTCTCTGAGGCAGAGCTGCAAATGGTGAGCCCACCCACCTACCCACCCCAGGAGCCACCAGTGTTTTGGGGCCAGTTAGCACATTTGTAATCTTGAGAGAGTCCCCTGGGCACCAGTCAAAAACATGTCTGCCACAGGGGCACAGTATTACACCGAATGCCTGCAGCATCTAAAAGCACAGGAAAGGGGGACAGGACTGTGAAACAGTGTGAGCATGCTCTGCTCGCTCATATATAGAAGCATTTTGCGCCTCTCCTCTGTCCAGAATGGATGGGATGATGGGTGTGCAATCTTGGCATCCAGGGGTGTTTAAGTGGGACCGGGGTGTTGAATACAGGAGAGGCTGATCCTCTGCCAACAAGACCTGAGCTTGAAGAGCAAACATCTCTTGTGCATGGGGGATTTTGGCAGGGATATTTACCTATGTAGACTATTTGCAGCAGATGCCCTGGGAGGTCCTGGGGAGCGCACTAGTGACCCCTGACACACAGCATCCAAGGCTAGTCAAGTGAATTTTGCCATCTGATGCAGAAAATTCCACAAAGCACCTCCCACCCCCTCTCTAGCAGGAAAAGCAGCAGCAATTATGATGAATTTAAAAGCCATTGGATGACCTTTTATGATGCCTGAAATCAGTAGGCTGAGGTGGCTGCCTTGTTCGCTTGATTGGGCCTTTACAGCAACGCAGGCTGTGTGGGATTCATTGTATTCTTTTGCAAAGGCGACCTTGGCAAAGCAGAAGTGGAATTATTCTGCCGTACAGAGAGGCTCTGTCCCTGGGCCAAGGGAAAGAGTGGATGAGGGGCCCAGCAGAGTCACAATAATCCCCCGCCCCGTGCCCTTTGACACAAGTGTAATAACCATAGTGGGCAGCCAACATCCCCGCAATTTTCTGGAGTGTGACTGAAGTCAGGGAGCAGCTTGAGTCTGTCGTGCATCAAGATGAGAAGAACAGAGGAGGGAGGGAATGTGAAAGAGGGGGGGGAGTGTGGTGGGCAGGTTTGCTGGCAGATCATCAGCGCCAGATCATCAGTGGCTGATCAGAGGTCTATTCAGGTGCTGTTGCTTTGGTGATTCCCCCGCACCCTCCCCACACTGATGGGGTCACACCGAAAACAAGCTGCTGTTATTGAAGAAGGATATGCAGCTGGAGTCTTCCTTTGTCCAGCCTCCTGTGAGCAGAGCGACTTGAGGTACAAGAGATAATGAAGAGGGATGGGGATGAGACATGTTTGCCTCATGGAGACCATATTGAGGGAGGCACCAGAGCAACAGCTTTATCCTGACTTCAGACCAACAGCAGAGCCGGTGACTTCCAAATTGTCATTTAAAACAGACAGGAAGTTGCTGCCCCAATGCAGCAAGCTCCTCTTCCTCCCTAAAAAATAAATAAATCAGGATCTCCCCAAATTTCACTTCCTGTTCCTGCCCCCACCAAAAAAAACCACACAAAAATTGGGATAACCTGTGATTTTGGGTTACTGTGTACAGTTTTGGTTGCCTCACCTAAAAAGGATACAGTACTGCAGAATTGGAGAAGTTTCAGAATAGGGCAACCAAGGGGGTGGAGTGACTCCCCTATGAAAGAAAGGTTGAGAGTTTGGGACTTTTTAGTTCAGAGAAAAGGCGAATAAGAGGCAACATGAGAGAGGTTTCTAAAATTATTTTTTTAAAAATCCAGAGCATGGAGAAAGTGGATCGAGAAAAGTTGTCCCTCTCTCCTAACTCTAGAACTCGCGGACAGCCAAGGAGGCTGAATGTTGGAAAATGCAGGACAGATTAAAGAGATTACTTTTCTTAAACCATGGAACTGGCTTCCAGAGGAGTCAGGGTTGGCCACCTATGGATGGCATTAAAAGAGAATTAGACACATTCCTGGGGAGAGGTCTGTTGATGGCTCCTAGCCAGGCTGGCTCTGTTCTGTCTCCACAGTTGGAGGCAGCAATGCTTCTGAATGCCAGATGTTGGAAACAGCTGGAAGGGGAGAGGAATCTTGTGACTGGGTCCTGCTTGCTGGCTTCTCTATAGGCAACTGCTCAGCCACTGTGAGAACAGGATGCTGGACTAGGTGGTCCACTGGCCTGATCCAGCAGGCTCTTCTTGGGTTCTTATGCTCTTATTTTATGGGGCTTTGGGTCATAGAATCATAGAATCATAGAATGTCATCTGAGGACTACTGGCCATTTCCTACACAATTAAGTTACTTAACAAATAAGTCAAACGGTCCCTTCAAGAAAAATAGTAAGGTAAAGGGACCCCTGACCATTAGGTCCAGTCATGGCCGACTCAGGTTGCGGCGCTCATCTCGCTTTATTGGCCAAGGGAGCCAGCGTACAGCTTCCAGGTCATGTGGCCAGCATGACTAAGCCGCTTCTGGCGAACCAGAGCAGCGCACGGAAACGCCGTTTACCTTCCCGCCAGAGTGGTACCTATTTATCTACTTGCACTTTGATGTGCTTTCGAACTGCTAGGTTGGCAGGAGCAGGGACCGAGCAATGGGAGCTCACCCTGTTGCGGGGATTTGAACCACCAACCTTCTGATCGGCAAGTCCTAGGCTCTGTGGTTTAACCCACAGCGCCACCCGCATCCCTACAGCCTGCTTATTCCCCTGCTGTTCTGTTTTTGGTGGTTAGCACTGATTATTTCTATTCTATGTGCCCTTTATTTAGAAGGTTCCTTCTCTGTTTGTGGATTTCATGTTCTGCTTTAGCAGGGCAAGATTAGCACATTATCAAGGTTCCCCTCCTTTCCCCCAACAACAAAAAGTGTATTCAGATAAATAAGTGTGAATTGTGGGGTAGATGGAGGAGAAAACAGATAAGGTTTCATGGTGGGGTCAGTCGATCTAATTGCAATAGGGCCACACTTTGCTGTACTGATGAGCTATGTTTATCTTAAGCAACAAGGCACCAACATTTACAGCACCTCCCAATAGCAATAGACTACAGTTCAGCACCAAGGACAGCAGCAGTGACAACTGGGTGCCCCTGAGGATATTAGGGCATTTTCACAAGCAATGCAAAGAATAACATGCCAGTGGAAGAGGGCTATTTTTAATCACACGAGCCTTTTGCTCGATGCTTGTTGATTTCAGTTTAGAAATGTGGGAAATTCATGCCAACATTTTGCGGGAGGTGAGGGTCGCAAATCAAAGCAGGGGTGTGCAAACAAATGACACACACTCTTTTTGCCATATTTTGCAGCAAGCCTTGTTGATGTGCTCATGAAAAGAGTTAAGTGAACTGCCTCCCATTGCTCACCCTCACACCTTAGTCCTTCATCACTTTGAACACCTAGACTTATTATTATTATTATTATTATTATTATTATTAATGATTTATTATTTATACCCCGCCCATCTGGCTGGGTTTCCCCCGCCACTTTGGGCGGCTTCCAACAGAACACTAAAATACAATAACCTATTAAACATTAAAAGCTTCCTTAAACAGGGCTGCCTTCAGATGTCTTCTAAAAGTTTGGTAGTTTTTTTTCCCCTTTGACATCTGGTGGGAGGGTGTTCCACAGGTTGGGTGCCACTACCAAGAAGGCCCTCTGCCTGGTTCCCTGTAACCTTGCTTCTCGCAGCGAGGGAACCGCCAGAAGGCCCTTGGCGCTGGACCTCAGTGTCCGGGCAGAACGATGGAGGTGGAGACGCTCCTTCAGGTGAAGAACTTCCCACCACCCCCTTCTCCCAATTTCACCTGGTGGTGAAACAGGAATAGGAGTGGGGGCACCAACCAGTTCTCTCTCCCCTACCCCATTTCTCCCTTGCACTGCTTGGATGCCTAGGAGAAAGCGGTCATAGTAGCATCCTGGGTGCAAGAAGCCTCAGTGTTCACTAAGTTCAATATTCATCCATCCATTCATTCATTTTAGATTAGGGGAGACCCCCCCCACACAAAACATTAGAAATTAATAAAAGGTGGGATTTTTATTATGTACTGAAAGGAAGATTGAGCCATAGTCCTGTGCTGCCAGCCACGGCAGAGCTCAGTGGAGGGAGAAGCCAGCCAACCAGCCAAGTCTCTGGGGGGTACTTGCCTGGAGACAGAGACTGTATACAAGGTCCACTCCAGTCCTAAGGTCAAGACTATCTCAGTTCACATAGTCAGACTATCTGGGGGTCAAGAAAGCTGAGGGTCCAAGGTCATGAGAAGCGAGAAGCTGCAAGGTCTGGTCAGGAACGAAGAATGTTGATTCCAGCAACTGACTGAGGCTGGAGACCCTGCTTAAGAAAGCTGGAGCCAGCTGGTTCTTATCAGGAGTAAGAAGGCTGATCAGCAGCAGGTAGAGAGTCACTTTCAGGCTGCTGCTCAGCAGGTGAAGCTGACTCCTAGCCCATGACAGATTGGAGGCCAGTGGAAAAATACAGACTCAGCTTCCTTTCCAAGCCAGGGCCTCACCTGGGATAGAGGCACTGACCAGACAAAAGGTGTTGATGGCCCATCTAACAGGAATATTGGGCCTGGACAGAAAGAGGTTGCCATGGTGATGGGGTGTGGGTTAGAAGTGACAGGAAGAGAGTGTCTTTAGAGCAAGGTGTGCTGGGAGGAAGAAAGGGGAGAAGAAAGACTGGGATCCATCTTGGGCAGGCTGGCTGAAGGGAGGCTGGGAGAGAGGCCTTGGACTACAGGGCTGCACTGATGTGGGGGAAAAGTCCCTCTTGAAATGACCCTGCTGTAAGATCCGGACTCCCTCCACTCAGACAGAAGGTATAAATACATGACTAAACCATATTCCTTAAAACTATGGCAGTCTTCACCGTATCTCAATTCTCCAGAGCAACACAGGACCCCATATGAGTGCCTGGTATCCCAGCCCCCCACCCTGAGATCTTGCTACTGCTCAACAGTGAGTGGGGATGGTGCCCAACTTTTGTAACAATATTTATATCCTATCTTTTCTCCAAGGAACTCAAGGTGGCACACACATCTCCCTCTCCACTGTATCCTCACAACAACCCTGTGAGGTAGTTTAGGCTATGAGACTGTGACTGCCCCTCCCTGGGGAAACTTTCCAGGCTTTTTATCATAGCATATGTTGGAGCTCTGGATGCTGAAGATGCAGATCTGCCCCCATTCTTTGCAAGGAAGTTTGTGGAATAGCCTTGTCCAACCTCGCAGGGTCGGGTTTTGCGAAGTGTAAAACAAGGGAAATTAATAATAAAACCTTCTCTGTTCTTCACACTAGATGATGGTGATGGTGATTAGGAGATTCCTATACCAAATCTGATTAGGAGCAATGCTCAAGTGAGCTACCGCCCTTAATTGGTAACATTGATTTTTGCCTCATCTGCTTGAGAAACTCATCAGCCTTGATAAAAGCTATGAATGTACATTAGATTAGTTAATCAAGTTGAAGATCCCATGTGGGTGCTTTCAATTTGGATGCTGGTGGTATAGGAACATAGGAAGTTGGCGGGTGCCATGGCAGGCCAGGGGTCCGTCTGACAGAATTTTCCTCTCTGACAGACAGCAGTGCTTCATGGTTTCAGAGAGAGGCTCTTCACAGCCTACCTTGGTGATTCCAGAGATGGAATCAGGGGCCCTTTCCATGCAAAGGAAGGGCTCCACCGCTGAGCTGCATCCCACAGATAATTTTAATAAAGTCTTGGGGCAAGGGGTTCATTAGTTTTAAATGCATGGTGAGGATGTGGCATAAATTGTCCTTCTACCTTTCCTAAAGTCAACCTATAAATAGTCAGTGCAGTGTGATGGTTAGTGTCTGGTTAGGACCTGGGAATCCAGGGTTCAAATCCCCACTCAGTCATGAAGCTTATGGGTGACCTTGGGAGCCAGTCTCTGCCTCTCCCAGCCTAACCTACCTCACAGGGTTGTTGTGGGGATTAAATGAGGAAGGAGAGAACCATGTGCTCTTTGGAGAGAAGGTGAGATGCAAAAGCAATGCAATGCAATGCAATGTTCTGCTTCACTGTTCTGATAAAAATAATTGAAAATCCCCTCCTGCTTGGTGCACATTGGCCCTGAGGGATTTTAATTACATGTGCTAATGAGTCTGCCTCCTTTTCTTTCTTTTCCAGGGATCTCCCTGATCGTGGCCGACAAAGACTCCAAAGAGATCTTGGCCAAATACATCATCCCTGTGAAGTATCTGCAACCCTTTCACCACTACCACTGTGCCCTAGTGCTGGTAAGCCACATCCCACAATCTGCTCCCGTTATCTGCCTGGCTGTCCAACCATGGGCATATGTACCATTGGCTTCTCAGCCCACACCTAACTTAAGGTTCAGAAAGGGCAAGTTGTGCCATCACCATAGGCCTAGACCATTGTGGAAGACATAGATGGTTGTTTACATGTTTGGTTGCTGGATTCCATTCTCTCTGGCCATTAACCAAGCCGACTGGAGGCGATGGGAGTTGGAGTTAAGCCATGTCTGGAAGGCTGCAGGTTCTGCACCTCTGTTCGGAGAGCTGCCTCCTCCTCTGGGAAGCTGCCCACATGCTTTGATGGTTGGGGGAGGCAGACTGGGGTGCAGAGCCTCAGGTCCTGGGGGCCAAATGTGACCCTTCAGGCCCCTCTGTCTGACCCTTGGAGCTCTCCCCAGGCCAAAGCTCAATTACTGTGCTTTGCACACACCCCTCCTTGACCATTTTTTAGAATATGTCTGCTAATGCCTCTTCTTTTTTGGATGGAGGTTAGAGAGGGGAGTAGGAGTGTGTGCACACAGTTGCCTGCCAGGCCAAGTTAAATGTGGCATGAGTTCCAGTGCCCACTTCTGCCTTGTTGACTCATCCGTGACTGGCCTGTGGTCCTCAGAAAGTTGCCCAGGCAGGAATGTGGCTCTTGGGCTGGAGAAGGTCCCCACCCCAGGCTTGGATGATCTATGCAAGCAATCTAAAGGCCTGGCCTGTATGTGCCCTGATAGGTTGCTATCCATCTTCAAAGATGGATTGTCATGAATAAACAAGCGCTTTACTGTAGAGAGGGGGAAACTGGGACGCGGGTGGCGCTGTGGTCTAAACCACTGAACCTTGGGCTTACCAATCAGAAGGTCGGCGGTTCAAATCCCCGTGACGGGGTGAGCTCCCGTTGCTTGGTCCCTGCTCCTGCCAACCTAGCAGTTCAAAAGCACATCAAAGTGCAAGTAGATAAATAGGTGCTGCTCTGGCGGGAAGGTAAATGGCGTTTCATTGCGCTGCTCTGGTTTTGCCAGAAGCGGCTTAGTCATGCTGGCCCTCCTTGAAACGGCTTAGTCATGCACCCTCCTTGAATATTTTTGCCTGGCCTCAGGCTCTGGTAGTGCCTCTTGCTTCCCAGATGGACAACAGGGTGAGAATATTAATGTATGTTGCTCCACCCACTTTTGCTTGTGGATCCACACACCACTGTGGATAAGGGACGTGTGCATGAGCCCTGATTCTACTGCATGGAGAAGAGAAGATGTTGCTTAAGGGAGTTCTCACCTAGCATCTTCCTTGATTTGCTGTGTTCCCATTTGTTGGGAATTTTTCTGACACAGAGGACTATTTCAAATGCACCATCTGTCTTCCGAGACAGTCTTCTTCTCACCTCCGGAGGAGGCATCTTTACTTTCCCCGTATGTTGGGATCCAACCTCCTGTTGTTGTTGTTGTTGTTTAGTCATTTAGTCGTGTCCGACTCTTCGTGACCCCACGGACCAGAGCATGCCAGGCACTCCTGTCTTCCACTGCCTCCCGCAGTTTGGTCAAATTCATGTTAGCAGCCTCGATAACACTGTCCCACCATCTCGTCCTCTGCCGTCCCCTTCTCCTTGTGCCCTCCATCTTTCCCAACATCAGGGTCTTTTCCAGGGAGTCTTCTCTTCTCATGAGGTGGCCAAAGTATTGGAGCCTCAGCTTCAGGATCTGTCCTTCCAGTGAGCACTCAGGGCTGATTTCCTTCAGAATGGAGAGGTTTGATCTTCTTGCAGTCCATGGGACTCTCAAGAGTCTCCTCCGGCACCATAATTCAAAAGCATCAATTCTTCGGCAATCAGCCTTCTTTATGGTCCAGCTCTCACTTCCGTACATCACTACTGGGAAAACCATAGCTTTTACTATACGGACCTTTGTTGGCAACCTCCTAATTCCAGGCTTACACACTACATTCTGCAGCAGCCTCACTCACAAAAAAGCGTTTTGTTGAAGTTCACTGGGGTCAGGCCCAGGAAATCTTTATGCAAAGGCAATAATCCGTGATGGGAAAATGTTTCAGGTTTTCAAAGCCTGAGAAGTCAGAAGGATGTGCTTGAGTAAATGTGGTAAGCCAGAGCCCTGGGGTCCCTTTAAGAGAGGGGAAGGGCCATCATCTGCTTTGCCTGGGTTTTTGCTCTGACATCTCCAGGTAGGATGGAGTGAGACCTCTTGTCTGAAACCCTGGAGAGCCATTTCCAGTCAACATAGATCAAGCTGGTCTTAGCCAGGCTGCATTCACATGGCAGTTTACAGTCAGGGGGAAAACAATGCTGTCCAGGGTTGTAAAGACTGCGGAAAGAATAATTGGGTGCACTCTTCCCACCTTGGATCAAATCTATGCTTCCAAGTGTCATAAGAAAGCTGCAGAGATAGTGCAGGAGAGTGCGCACCCTGAAAATGATCTCTTTCAGCTTATGCCTTCTGTAAGAAGGTAAAGGTAAAGATAAAGGGACCCCTGACCATTAGGTCCAGTCGTGGCCAACTCTGGGGTTGCAGCGCTCATCTCGCTTTGTTGGCCGAGGGAGCCGGCGTACAGCTTCCAGGTCATGTGGCCAGCATGACTAAGCCGCTTCTAAGCGAAACCAGAGCAGCACATGGAAACGCCTTTTACCTTCCCACCAGAGTGGTACGTATTTATCTACTTGCACTTTGACGTACTTTCTAACTTCTAGGTTGGCAGGAGCAGGGACCGAGCAACGGGAGCTCACCCCGTCGCGGGGATTCAAACCACCGACCTTCTGATCAGCAAGTCCTAGGCTCTGTGGTTTAACCCACAGCGCCACCCGCATCCCCTTCTGGAAGAAGGTACAGGGTTATAAAGACTAGGACTAGCCACCTGAGAAACAGTTTCTATCCAAATGCGATTTCAGTTTTAAATGCAGTGTAAGGTGGTTTCTGTAGGAGTACATACATCATATCAGCCTGCTGGATCAGGCCAAGGGCCCACTGAGTCCAGCATCCTCTTCTCACAGGGATCAGCCACATGCCCACTCTGGGAATCTAGGAAGCAGGACCCAGTCCCAAGAGCAGCCCTCTGCCCTCCTGGGGCTTCCAGCAACTGGCGCTCAGAAGTGTTGCTGCCTCCTTCTGTGGAGGGCAGAGCAGAGCCATGTTGGCCAGCAGCCAACAATAGCTTTATCCTCCATGAACTTGTCTAATCCTCTTTTAAAGCCATCTACGCTGGTTGCCCTTGCTGCCTCCTGTGGGAGGGAGTTCCGTGTTTGTACTCTGGGAAAAAGGCCTTTCTTTGAACTGTCCTGAACCTCTCCCAACTCTGTAATACAGTATCCTCTTTTAGGTGAGACAACTGGAACGGAACACAGTGAAGCCCCTTCTGGAACCGTAGTGGAATATAGTGCAAGTTTAGGACTCTTTTCCGCTTTATGTGCTTCCAGAAGAAAATCCATATGGGCCCCAAAGTCCTTCCCTCACAGCACCCCTGAACCTGGGACCTTTGGAACTGCTCGATTGGGCAGGATGGGGCCCTGCCTTGCCCATCTGCCCTCAGCCAGCCCCCACCTGCCTACTGCCTACTTACTGTACATCTGGTCCAGGGGATAGCAGTGGCTATCAGCTTCTTCCTCTCCCCCAGACTCAATTGCTGTCCTTGTAGGGAGGAGGAGGGGGACAAACCTAAAACTCATCAGCTCTGGGTAAGATGGGCTTGTCTTCCTCTGCCTCAGAAGGAGCCGCTGCATCCTGGGCGGGTGTGGGGGAGAGGAATTCTGCATTTTTGTGAAGGTTTCACGCAGTGCAGAATGTAACGCCTGTTAATTTCCTCCCTCTCTGCATTAAAAACCTGACCTTTATTCCATACGCCATTTCCCCTCATTTGAGCAGTGATTTTTAAGGAGAGTGCTTGTATTGATGAGGTAATAATGATTAGCTGCCTTGTGGTGTGATTGCTCCAAAGTCCATTTGCAGACTCCAGTGGCCCCAAGATTAGCTTTCCATGCGGTTCTTTGTGTTTCTCCGGCTGATTTATTCATGATCCCAAACGGTCATCCAAAGCTGCTGGTGGCCCCAAGCATGGCTGCTTTACTCACATTTAAGAATCTGTAGGGGGTCACCATTTTGTGGCAAGTCTGCTTATGGGTTTGGGTCAATGGGAAGAAAGGGCAGCCCCTCCCAGCCCTCAGTTCAGTGTTGGTGCTAGGAATTGTAGCGGCACTGGGAATCATAGCTCTGTGAGAGGCAGACTAAAGATCCCAGGACCCTTTGGGGGAAACAGCGTGTTTTAAATGTATAACGTGTACTCAGCCCTCGCCTCTTTTCTCTGCTGATCAAAACATTATTTACTTTTCCCACAGAGGTTGGTGGCAGGTCTTCCTGGGCTGCGAAATGTTTAAATGCCAAAGGGGAAAGATTGATGACATTGATCTTTCTAGACAGGGCACTCCAGAGGACAATGGGCTTTAATTATCAGCCTGCAGTTATGGCTGCTCAGGGCCAACACAGAGTAATCTGGACTCTTGAGAAACTCTTGGTTTGTTGCCTCATTTGCTTGCTCTCTCTCCATTCCCATTTCACCTTAAGCATTTCGTTCTTTCCCGAACAGCCTAGGAAGAAGGACCCAGCGGGGACCAAGCTGCATGTCACCATAATCCGCAAAGGCAGTCTCATCCCCCGCTACCCTGGAATGAATTACACAGGCTTGGAGGTAAGGCTCAGGCCGGCAAATCCAAAATGGTGGGCGAGGTGGCATTGGCGAGCTTTGGGTGGCACCAGGCCAGTGCCAAGACCTTTGGGGTCATATGCCCCACAAGTGCCTGCGGCTGCAATCCTGTTTCTGCTGACCAAATGGATTGGCGACAATTTCAGAACACACAAAGGTGGGGAATTTTCACACAGCATGTGGTGACTTTAAATGAATGGAAACTAATTAATTAAGAAGGGTGTTGACTTGCTGGAATATGTGCAGAGGACAGTGACTGAGATGATCAAGGGTCTGGAATGGATGGATCCTTTCCCTTCCTACCTCCTTTCACCTCTCACCTCTCCCAGTTTCTATCCCTGCTTGCTAGAGATCCTTTCTCGATTAATTTTGTTGTATTGGTGGAAATGAGAAAGTGAAGGAATAGGAGGAAACTCTCCTCCATCAGGAATGATTGCTTTTAAGGTACCTTTTAAAAACACCAAACTTAATATTGTTACATAGCACCCCAGACTCTGAGCAGTGAGAATTTCCAGAGGTTCCAGCACTCACTCTGGGTTTTGTCTCCTTGAAAGGAAGGTCGGTGGAGACTGTGGTGTCTTTAGGATAGATTGTTTTATTTGCAAATATATACAACCTGAGCATAACATGGGCGGGCTCACAGCACAACCCCCCCCCCCGATTCTGCTCCTCCGTTAGTTGCATTTGGCCATGTTGGCTGGGGTTGATGGGAGCTGAAGCCCAACAATATTTGGAGGATGCCACCTGATCAGGAGAGCTTAACGGGGAGGGAGACAATATTACAGATGACAGGGGATAATACTGGTACTGGTGAAAATAGCTTGATTGATGCATAGGAAACTGAGGTGGTACCCCAGAAACCTGATAAAGGCCAGGAAAATGCAAGAAGGAAGGGAATGACTCATGGTTTCAGTTGTTTCTATACTAATACTCAGAGTATGGGAAACAAGCAAGATGAATTTGAACTCTTGATGCAAAGTGGCTAATATGACCCTAATAGGCATTACTGAAACCTGGTGGGGATGAGACTAATGATTGGAATGTAGAAATTGAGGGGTATAACCTGTTCAAAAGGAATAGACCAAGCAGGCAGGGAGGGGGAATAGCAGCATTATACATAAAGAATATGTGCACTTGTGATGAAATTCATGACCTGGAGCATGGAATACCATGGAAAACAGATTGAGGGCATATGGGTAAAAATTGTAGGAGAGGGAAGCAACAAGGACCTTACAGTGGTGTCAGCTATAGACCGCCAAGCCAGACTGAAGACTTGGGTGATGCCTTCCTGGAGCAGATTTCCAAACATTCAAAAAGGAGAGACATAGTAGTTAAAGGAAACTTCAACTGCCCCGATATCTGTTAAACTCTGCCAAGAATATAAGGTCCAACAAATTTCTCCCTTGCCTTGCTGACAATTTCATTTTTCCAAAAGATGGAAGAAGCAACAAGGGGATTGTCTATCTTGGACCTGGTCCTCATCTACAGGGAAGAACTGATTAATGAAGTGGAAGTACTGTAAACCTTGGGAGGAAATGATGATCAGGTCCTCTTGGGTTTCATGACCCAGAGGCAAGGGAACTGAGTGTGGTTGGACATGCACTCTAGACTTGAAAAAGGCTGGTTTCAAAAAGCTTAAGGAACTGCTGGGTGAGATCCCATAGCTAGAAATATTCAAAGAGATGGGAGTACAAGACGGATGGGAGTTTCTTAAAGGTGAAATATTGAAGGCACAAGGCAGACAATTCTAACAAGAAAGAAAAGTGGGAGGCATCTAAAGAAACCAGTGGGTGCATAAGGAGCTTACAGATGAGATGAGATGAGATGTAAGAAGAAATAAGAAATGGAAGAAATAAGAAGTTATGAGAAGTCAAAGATGCTAAGAGGTAACATTTAGGGCAGAAGTGAGGGGAAGGGTTGATGACTGTGAACCTGTGTTAAGAGCAGAAACAGGTCTTTAGTAATCATCGTTCTCTCTGATTTCAGGTATTCCTCAAGGGGATCAATGAGCCTCTGGAACAACCCGACGGCACTGTCTTAGCCGTTGGCCGGATAGTGAGCAACGTCAAAGATTACATGTAAGTGGGGAGAAATCACAACAGGCTGCTAAGAGTAGAATCAAAGAACTGTAAAGTTGGAAGGTACCCAAAAGGGTCATCTAGCCCATGGGTCGGCAAACTAAGGCTGAATCCGGCACAATTGCCTTCTGGATCCGGCCCGCAGACAGTCCGGGAATAGCCGCGTGCATCAGCATGGATCTGATTCTGATCATTCGGGCTGCACCATTCCCCCCCCACACACACACCACAGTGGCGCCTCCTCCCTCCCTCCTCCTGGCTTCTCCCTGCCCTGCCTAGAGGAGGAAGGAGGCTGGGCTTTCTCGGTGCCAGCAGTAGCAGTGCTCGAGCGGCCGCCATTTTAGGCAGCCCCTCTCCAGAGCCCTTTCGTGCGCCGCACACCGTCCCTCATTCATTCCCCCCCCAAAAGGTCCCCCCACTGGCCCCCCACAAGGTCTGAAAGACAGTGGACCAGCCCCCTGCTGAAAAAAATTGCCAACCCCTGCTTTAGCCCAATCCCCTGCAATGCAGGAATTCCAGCTAAAGGCACATGAATGGGGGTGGGGGACGGGACAGGGCAGTCCTATACATGTCTTAATCATAATCCTAAGCATCTTTGCACAAGAGGACATAGATTCTGCCTTAGTGCAGATCCTACCAAACAGCCCCGATGAGCGAAAGAGTGCCACTCTCGGTCAATGTAGGCAACTAGCTAACTTGAACTTTCTGAACTGCAGCTGTCCAGAAATGAAAAACAAACCAAAATGCAGCCATTCGTCAGAAGTCACGCTCTCCCAAATATCGCAGTGCAGTTCTCCAGCCTAGTAGTGTTGGCAAAAATGCATATACTGAGATAACGTGTTCATACGAATGCACGTATCGTGACTATAGCACACAAAAATTCGTTGTATTGGGGGAAACTGCTTTGCCAAGATGTGCATCCAAAAAGTTGGGTGTTAGGAGAAATGAGCACTAAAATGCTGGTGAATTTTTATGAAGACTATTTTAAAAAAGCAAATTGATGTGGAAATGTGGAGAAGTGAATTTAAGATGGAAGGAGCAAGAGAATTTGCAATGGACAGACTTTCCGACCCTTGCTTCTGAGGAAATGGGCCTAGAGTTGTGTTGTCATTCTTGGACATCTGGCAATACAGTGGTACCTCGCAAGACGAATGCCTCACAAGACAAAAAACTCGCTAGACGAAAGGGTTTTTTTGTTTTTTGAGCTGCTTCGCAAGACGATTTTCCCTATGGGCTTGCTTCGCAAGACGGAAACGTCTTGCAAGTTTGTTTCCTTTTTCTTAACACCGTTAATACAGTTGCGACTTGACTTCGAGGAGCAACTCATAGAACGCGGTGTGGTAGCCTTTTTTGAGGTTTTTAAAGACTTTTGTATTTTTGAAGCTTTTCCGAAACTTTCCCAACACCGTGCTTCGCAAGATGAAAAAAAATCGCAAGACGACAAAACTCGAGGAAAGAATTAATTTTGTCTTGCGAGGCACCACTGTACATTTCTGAAGGTGTAGCTGCAAACAACCCCTATAATTCCATTCTCCCCCTCCCTTCCTCCCTCTGAAGGAAAGAGATGAAGGCCCGGCCGCTTTATGCTCAGCCGGTCCCAGAGAAGGACATCACCTTCCCAGATCCTCCAATGGAGGCTTTTGAGGTCCCGCAAGTCACCAACCAAGGACACCCACAGGTACTAGTCAAGTGTCGCTTGAAAGTTTTCTGCCTTGGGGAAGGACATAAGGAGAGACGGGGAGCCTGCTGAATCGGGCCAATGGCCAGCCCAGGCCAGCATCGTGTTCCCACAATGGCCAGCCAAAAGTATCCAGAGGTGGATTTAGGGCAGCACAACCAGTTCCCCCACACTGGGCGCTGAGTAAAGGAGGACACGGCAGAGCATCACACAGAATGCAAGGGCAGAAGTGGAGGGAGCTGGATTTTGGCCTCACACAGGGCACCACTGAAATCTAAAAGACCAAACCCACCCCTGTGCATGGCCCATCTGTCCATTCATCCATATCCATATAGCCTTCCTTCCTTCCTTCCTTCCTTCCTTCCTTCCTTCCTTCCTTCCTTCCTTCCTCTCCTTCTCTCTTGCTCTCTGAGCTTGGGGCTGCACAGAAAGAGGTGGAGGCCCCTGCCTGGGGCCCATGGCTGGTGGGTTGCACAGTTGCATTGGAGAGGGTTGAATTGCTCTCCCCAGCATGAGTCACAGGCACAGCAGGAAGAAATGCTGATGGAGGGGCCGGAGTGTGCTTGCTTTGTTTGTTTTTGCTCTTCATCCACTTTGGAATTAGAGGGAGGATTTCAGGCTTGCTAACAGTAAAGGTAAAGGTACCCCTGCCCGTACGGGCCAGTCTTGACAGACTCTAGGGTTGTGCGCCCATCTCACTCAAGAGGCCGGGGGCCAGCGCTGTCCGGAGACACTTCCGGGTCACGTGGCCAGCGTGACATCGCTGCTCTGGCGAGCCAGAGCCGCACACGGAAACGCCGTTTACCTTCCCGCTAGTAAGCGGTCCCTATTTATCTACTTGCACCCGGGGATGCTTTCGAACTGCTAGGTTGGCAGGAGCTGGGACCGAAAGACGGGAGCTCACCCCGCCGTGGGGATTCGAACCACCGACCATGCGATTGGCAAGCCCTAGGCGCTGAGGCTTTTACCCACAGCGCCACCCGCGTCCCTATTTGCTCACAGTACCTATCCCCATTTTCAGTTCCTCCAAAGCCTCTTCGTGGACCACATCTACTTTACCTCTTGCATCCCTTCCTGCCAAGATGAAGGAAGCTGCCATCCGAAACAGATTCCTTCTGGCTCCTACAACTTAAGAAACAGCCCCTCAGGGGATGAACCAGTGGGGAGGGGGGAAATTAGCCTAAAGAGGAAGACATTTGCAGCCAAGTCCCATCAAAAGGGGGTTCATCCTGATTCAGCTGACAGCCTCTTTGATGAGGCCTGGTGCCAAACAAAGCTGGCAAAAAGGAGGCAGGTTTGGCGGCATAAATGATTTAGCAGAGCCATCTGGGCTGAGAAAAATTATTCCTTTCGTCACATACACCCTGTTAATTTTCTTTAAAAGCCCTGATTGAATGTTGGTTTTAGGGAAGGCTTTTCAATTAAATGGCCCAGTGGAACTGGCCAGTCTCCCTTCTCAGCTTTTTTGCAGATTTGTTGTGTAGTATTAGAAAAAGCTACCTTTGCACTGATTGGCAGCAGCTATCCTGGGAGATGCTGTGGTCTAAACCACAGAGCCTAGGGCTTGCCGATCAGAAGGTCGGCGGTTCGAATCCCCGCGACGGGGTGAGCTCCCGTTGCTCGGTCCCTGCTCCTGCCAACCTAGCAGTTCGAAAGCATGTCAAAGTGCAAGTAGATAAATAGGTACCGCTCCGGCGGGAAGGTAAACGGTGTTTCCATGCACTGTTCTGGTTCGCCAGAAGCGGCTTTGTCATGCTGGCCACAGGACCTGGAAGCTGTCTGCAGACAAACGTCGGCTCCCTCAGCCAGTAAAGCGAGATGAGCACTGCAACCCCAGAGTCGCCCGCGACTGGACGACTTTGGTCAGGGATACCTTTACTTTTGACAGGGACGCGGGTGGCGCTGTGGGTAAAACCTCAGCGCCTAGGACTTGCCGATCGCATGGTCGGTGGTTCGAATCCCCGCGGCGGGGTGCGCTCCCGTTGCTCGGTCCCAGCGCCTGCCAACCTAGCAGTTTGAAAGCACCCCCGGGTGCAAGTAGATAAATAGGGACCGCTTACTAGCGGGAAGGTAAACGGCGTTTCCATGTGCTGCGCTGGCTTGCCAGATGCAGCTTGTCACGCTGGCCACGTGACCCGAAAGTGTCTGTGGACAGCGCTGGCTCCCGGCCTATAGAGTGAGATGAGCGCACAACCCTAGAGTCTGGCAACACTGGCCCGTACGGGCAGGGGTACCTTTACCTTTACCTTTTTGTTGTTGCGTCAGCTTGCAAACAGCCTCATGTGTAGCAATACACAATGCACAATCTGCAATTGTGCAATACAGCAATGCACAATATGAATGTGAAATGAAATGAAATGAAATGCAATGAAAAATGCAATGAATATGTGCAACAGTGCGGGAGCGCTATTGCAGGGTTCTGGGTTCCAATCCTCGCCACCTCCAGGTGGGGCTGCGACTCTGCTCAGCCTGAAACCCTGGAGAGCTGCTGCCAGGCAGTGTAAACCATACTGAGCTCAATGGACCAAGGATCTGACTCTGTATGAGGTTTCCTCCTACCCTTTGAAAGCCCCACTTTCCTTACAGGAAAGCCAGTGATTTTGTTCCTTTTCCCAGGGCAGGCAGGGCTATATCTTCATTTTAGCCTTAGGATCAGACTGATTTGTAATGGGAGGTTAGGGTACTCTCTTCTTAAGGGACAACTTCTGAAAGCTGCTATCTCTTATTTAGCCTCAGAAGCAAGAGGAGGGTTTAGAGAAGCAAAAGACAAGAACGCAACACCTCCACCCCCAACCCAGTGTGGTTTGCTTTACATACCATAAATCATGCTTGCCGCACACAGGGTTGCATTTAGGAATTGAATTACAAATTAATCCGCGGAGGGAATTGAACTGTCATGGTATTTCCTCCCCCTTCCTCCCCCCTCCCTTCCCTATGTGCTTTTTGGCAAGCCATTTAACTCCTTGGTGCACAACATGGGCTGAACATACTTATGGCTAGAGGGCATGCAGTGGGGTCCCTTATAAATAGAGTACAGGGCACAATTAGCAGTCCAAACATTGCGCTTCTTGCATGAGTTTTGGAAATAGTGGCCAGTTTTACTCTAAGCTTTGCTCCAGGGGAGCTGAACTTAAAGTCCCTTTCTAAAGACTGATGTTACGCCTCTTGCATTCTTTTAATGCCAAGCCCAGCCCACCTTTGCCATCTCTGCATTTTTTATTCAGTGCTTGGGGGAGGGGTCTTGGGGTTGGGACTGCATGTGCTCACAGTGCCCTCCTCCGGCACATTCAGGTCCCCCCCCCAACCTGGACATATGCTCACTGGGGCAGATTTGCATATACAGTGGTACCTTGGTTTGCAACCGTTTTGGATTACAACCACGTCAAACCCTGAAGTGTATGTCCCTTTTTTCGGATTACAACCAATTTTGTTTTTGGAGGCCCCATTGGCGAAAGCACGCCTTGGGTTACAAACTGTTTTGGTTTACAGTCATACCTCATGTTACGTTTGCTTCATGTTACGTTTTTTCAGGTTGCATTCCGCGGCAACCTGGAAGTACCGGAAAGGGTAACCCTTTCCGGTACTTCCAGGTTTCGTCACTCACACATGCGCACAAGCACCAAATCGCGCTTCGCGCATGCGCACAGGCACCAAATTGCGCCGCTCACCTGCACAGATACGGCGCTTCAGGTTGTGGGCTTTTCATGTTGTGAACGGGCCTCTGGAACGGATCCCGTTTGCAACCAGAGGTACCACTGTACAACCGGACCTCCGGAACGGATTATGGTTGTAAACCAAGGTATCCCTGTAGTTAAGTTCAGTCAGAGTCGAGCTCAAAGCCCTCTAGAGAGGCAGTGTGGTGCAATGGGGATTAAATGAGCAGAATAACCGTGCACACCACATTGAGCTCCTTTGAGGAAAAGGTGGGATAGAAATGCCATAAATCATCATCATAACAATATTGTTTCACAAAGTGTGAAATAGGTAGAGTTAGCATTTGGTTATACGAAGCAGATGACTCCCTTGTTACAACAGCTCCGCTGGCTGCCAGCCTGTTTCCAGGCACAATTCAAAGCACTGGTTTTGACCTGTAAAGCCCTACATGGCACAGCCCAGGCTATCTGAAAGACCACATTCCCTCATACTTACCTGCCTGGGCTCAGAGAACTTTTTTGTGGGGGGGCTTCTCTTGGTCCCCCCACCCTCACAGGGACTCCTGGTGGGGACACGGGAGAGGGCTGCCCCCAGGCAACTTTGGAACTCCCTCCCTAGAGAAGCTAGACTTGGCTTCCTCCTTGCTGTCCTTCTGCCGGCAGGTGAAATCCCTTTTCCAACGGGCTTTTGGGAACTGGCTGCTTTTAACGAAAGAGATGGTGCTGTTATGCTTTTTTTTGTCATTATCTGTATGCCAAGGCTTTATAAGAACAACAGTGGTAAGAGAAAGAGCCATGGAGATCTTGCAAACCGCCTTGTGCCTAGCGATGCAGGAAGGCAGTATACAAATCAAAAGTGAAATGGAAATTTAATTTGTGTTAGTGTTTAATTGTGTTTTAATGATTCCCCGCCTCCTAGGTTTTTAGCTGCTTCTGTTTTAGCTGCGAGGTGCCTTGAGCCCCTATCTGGGGAAAAGGCAAAATAACGGTAATAATAACTGCCCACCTTTCATCTGCTCCCAGATGAAGGTCGGAGGGGAGGGGAGGGGGGGGCTTCCATGGTTTCCCCTGTGCGCAAAAGGCTGATCGATGCACTTAGTTCTCTGGATCTCTGAGGGAAGGCCGAGCTCTGCTTAGGGAGGTTAATGGCTTTCCACGGGCGAATCTTATGTGGCGGCTAATCAGCTTCGATCCTTCTGCCACCCCAGCAGTGCCCCCCGCCACTGTCACTCTGTTGACTCTGTGGTCAAGCTGACATGGGCTGATGTGGGCATCTCTCCTCCCAGGGTGCCGAGGGGAGAGCAGCCAGTGCCCAGGTTAACCCCTTCTGAGAATGCTTCTGCCTAAATACAGTAGTGCCTCGCAAGACGAAATTAATCCGTTCCGCGAGTCTCTTCGTCTTGCGGTTTTTTTGTCTTGCGAAGCACAGCTATTAGCAGCTTAGCGGCTATTAACGGCTTAGCGGCTTAGCGGCTATTAACGGCTTAGCGGCTTTAAGAAAAAGGAAACAAACTCGCAAGAACTCGCAAGACGTTTCGTCTTGCGAAGCAAGCTCATAGGGAAATTCGTCTTGCAGAACGACTCAAAAAATGGAAAACTCTTTCGTCTAGCGAGTTTTTCGTCTTGCGAGGCATTCGTCTTGCAGGGCACCACTGTATAATAAATTGGAGTTCTTGTTATTAAATATACCAAGAAAAAAAGCACACCAAGAACTCAAGCCAATGTAAGTTTCAATAGTGGGAGTGGTCCCTACTCGCAAATCAATAGTCAATAGTAACAAAAACTAATCCATTCAAAAGCATGTATTCTGGCAAGGATTACAAACTCTAACAGAGATTACAAACTCAAACTCATAAAAATATGTATAACACAATAATTCATTACAGAATTAGAGATCATAGTTTATGAGTACAGTGGTACCTCGGGTTACATACGCTTAAGGTTACAGACTCCGCTAACCCAGAAATAGTACCTCGGGTTAAGAACTTTGCTTCAGGATGAGAACAGAAATCGGGCTCCAGCGGCGTGGTGGCAGCAGGAGACCCCATTAGCTAAAGTGGTGCTTCAGGTTAAGAACAGTTTCAGGTTAAGAACGGACCTCTGGAACGAATTAAGTACTTAACCTGAAGTACCACTGTAGAGGTAAGTTCATGTTAGTTCAGATTCGTCATGGAGGTCTTAGTTTCAATCAGCGGTTTGAATCCCCACGACGGGGTGAGCTCCCGTTGTTTGGTCCCAGCTCCTGCCCACCCAGTCATGCTGGCCACATGACCCGGAAGCTGTCTGCGGACAAACGCCGGCTCCCTCGGCCAATAAAGCGAGATGAGCGCCGCAACCCCAGAGTCGGTCACGACTGGACCTAATGGTCAGGGGTCCCTTTACCTTTACCTTGGTTTGGTGGCCATCCCTGCCTCTTGCAGGATTGAGATTAACTATGTGCTGCATAAAGAAGGGCTGTCTTTTATCTGCCCCAGAGTTGCAAAGGGACTCGCTGAGTGTGCCACCAGATTGCCAATAGCTTGCCATGTACCCTCTGTTAGGATATCGATGTTCCGTTCCACCTTAAGAACAGGCATGTGGAGTTGTTGTATGTCACATGTCTGTTTACTTCCAGCACAGACTCCTGGGAACTTCCGTTGTGTATAGCTTTTGCTTATGCTTCCTGCTCTTGGACATGAAAGAGAGCAGACATGTTTTTCTTTGTCCCGAACTATGCTGAATAAACTGCTTGTAAATATGCTTTACATATGCCTCTGTCCGCCACTTCTGTTGCGTGTTATTCACTCTTCAGACTGAGGCGTGCTCAAGCTTCTGAAGGCTTCTGAAGGTGTGTGCCGCTGTTTTGATGCTGTTCCAAGGACCGGAGTTTGTCCGGCTGCCGGACAGTGGGCTGGAGCCAGCTGGGGACCTGCGAATTGCCCCCCCCCCCCGTTCTCTTGGACACATCCCAACACCCACTGCTCCACTTTCCACGGCTGGTCCTCTTGGCCTCCCTCCTCTGCACACGTTGTAACGTCGCCATCTTTATAATCCTATCAAAAGCACAAGAGAAGGAAACAGATTCATCAAGCATTTATTATAATTCAATACAAACTCATGGTGATGTAGAGTATCAGAAACAGATGCTGAGGACCAGCCCTGTGTCTGACACACACACACACACACACACACACACACACACCCCTCTGGGAAAGGGCTCCTCACATGCCCAGGCAGCAAAATCTTTCAGCCTCTTTAGTCCAGATTTCTTTTTTACTCTCAGAGACAGGAATTGACCACTTGCATAATGTTTTCAGAGGAATGTGGAAGCAGGTTCCATCAAAGGTCCAGATTGCCTGGGACTTCTTTTCTCTTTGTGGGATATTAAAGATCATTCCTTTCCGCTGTCCCTTCAGAGGAGAGCACTGGGCTCTTTTATCCCCACTGTTGAGGGTGGCCAAATCCGGTGGGAAACCAGATGGGAGAGGGAATAGAATGGAGCATACAGAACAGGAACAAGCCACTTTGCTGCAGATCCCCCTGGTCTCTCTTCTGATACCCTGACTGGGCTTCCTCCACTTTTCACTGATCACCAGGTTTCTCCAGCTGCTGGACCTCCTGAGCAGCCAATGTGGAACATGTCCTACCTGTTCCAAGGACGGGATGGAGCAACAGCTTTCTCGGATGATACTGCCCTGGTGATTGAATACTTCAAAAAAGGTAAGTCTTTATCTCTGGGAGGTAATGGTGGAGATTGATAAAATTATGCCTGGCTTGGAAAGATGAGTGTTTCTCCCACTCTTGTAGCACTAGAATTGGCAGATGCACAATGAAACTGAATGCTGGAGGGTTCATAAGTCTTTCTTTACACCAGTGCATAGTTAAGCTATGGAGCTCACTGCTGCAGGAGACATTGATGGCCACAAACTCAGATGGCTTTAAAAGAGGATTGGACAAATTTATGGAGGAGAGGGCTATTAAGCATAGGGCTATATTCTGCCTCCACAGTCAGAAGCAGTGATGCTAGAAATTGCAAGAGGGGAGAGTGCTCTTGGGCTCAAATCCAATAATAGCCATCTGGTTGGCCACTGGGATGACAGGATGCCAGACAAGATGGGCCTGATCCAGCAGGTTCTAGCAATGTTCTTAATGGAGTTTTGACCCCAGCCTCCTCCTTGCTGAGTTCTATTATTGCAGCAGTGAGGCTAAGGAGGAGCAAGCTGAGAGGCAGAGCCACACCCCTGGCTTGGTTGTTAGTAGGAAGGCAGACTGACGCTGGTGGGGCAGTGCCCAACCTGCCCCTCTGGACCAGCCCCCCAGTGAGATAAGACCATATGGGAGTGTGAAATGATTTGTGGGGGATTCTCAAGATGAGATGTGGCGCTTAGCAGCACTAAGATCTGGGGTAAGGCGATCGATTCATTTTTGGATTGTGGACAGTCAAAAATAGCACTGCCTGATGGTCAGTTTTGGTTAAGAATGTAGCACTCTGGTACCTTATATATAGACCACTGTGGTTGACCCCTGTGAGAACAGGATGCTGGACTAGATGGTCCATGGGCTGGATCCAGCAGGCTCTTTCTATGTCCTGATGTTTGGGGCTGCAAGGTCCATCTTGACCAGCAGCCCCACACATCAATTCCTCTGGGAGATGAGATCGGCTGGTTTCCAACTCAGGAGCCTGGGGTGAAATTTTGGACGAGGAGGATTTTGAAAGCATCCCTGCCACGTTGCAATGGAGGACTAATCAAGATGTTTCATCCCTGTTTGCCCACCAGATCCGGATGGAGACCTGGAAATTCCACCAAAGTCTTTGGGCTTCTCTGTGCTGCCACTAAGTAATCGCGTCTATCGAAAGCTTGTGGCAGACAGTAGCAGGAATGGAGTTTGTGTAGAAAACCTTCCCATCCAGGTAATAGCAACCATAGGCAACAGGACCTGCTGCAAAATCTTCTGGTATGTTCTAACCTCGCCCCTCCACTGTAAAGGGCATTACGATAAACAAATGAGACCTGGTTAGTTTTTGCTATGGCCTGATGGTTATCAACTTGTGGTAAGACATAAACAGTCTTTTTCATTGCCGTGGAATTCTCTTCCTGCTGAAATATTGGGGGCCCCATCAGTATTGGCATTCTGCCGGCTCTTGAAAACACAGCTTCTGACTTGGGTCTTCTGTTTTTGATTGCTGTTTCAAGTGTTATGCTGATTTAATGGACTTGTGTGTCATATATTTAAATTATGGGTGTGTGGTTGTATTACTATGCATTTTAATTACAGGTAGCTGTATTTTCATAATTGTTCGTTTGTGGACCACCTTGGTACTTCTGTTCAGGGTTCCTCCCACTCTTCCTCTGGTGACCTACTCCATTTCTGGTCATGACTGATCCTCATGACACTCCTCATCGCTGAGGGCCACAAATTCCCCAGCCCTGAATTAGACCACCTGGAGGTTGCTGATGCCACAACCTCCACAGACCCGCCCTTAGACCTTGTGGATCCTGTGGACAGTCCCTCTTCTGCTTCGTAATGTGCCTCCCACACGGCTGAACAGCTGCTCTGTTTGGCAAAGTGGAATGGAGAACTCAACATAAGATTGGGGAAATGAGACATGGAGAGGAACCTACGGATACACTCATCCCTGGGCCCGTCCCTTCACCTTATACAGAATCATAGAATTTTAGAGTTGGAAGGGACCACGAGGGTCATCTAGTCCAACTCCCTGCAATGCAGGAATCTTTAGCCCAACATGGGGCTTGAACACATGACTCTGAGATGAAGAGTCTCATGCTCTACAGCAGGCATAGGCAAACTCGGCCCTCCAGATGTTTTTAAGACTACAATTCCCATCATCCCTGACCACTGGTCCTGTTAGCTAGGGATGATGGGAGTTGTAGTCTGAAAACATCTGGAGGGCCAAGTTTGCCTACGCCTGCTCTACAGACTGAACCATCCAATTTGAATGATTCAGTCTTTCCAGACAGAGCCCTATTACTTTGATCTCCTTCTTGTTTCCTCCCACTCAGTCATTGGAGGATCTATCCAGACACCGAGGAAAAGGAATCCACCATGATAACACCCATTAAGCTTATCCAGCAAATCCCTCCTCTTTTCTAAGTTTAAGAGTCTCGTGCTTGTACCAACTGAGCTACCCAACATCCCCTTGCTGGTGTGCTTTCCAAATAGACCCATAGCTGACAGTGTGCTGGCGGGGCCCTAGGCTTGATGGACTTGTGATCTGATCCAACCATGCAGTTCTTAACTCTGTGCGTTGACAATTCTTAATCAACCATTTGTCTTTGTTGATTTCTCAGGATACAAACCTGCGCACCAGAAGTGGAGAAGTCCCAACTGTCCAGCTTGGTGTTCAGTTGATAAATTCAGAGGTGAGACACATGGAAATGCCAGCAAGATCAGCTTCGGGAGCTCCAGATAGGAAATATCTGAGAATCTTGCCTTTGTTAAAAAAAGGGGGGTGGGACTGGACAGCTCAGATGGTCCATGTAGGACACTGGTGAACAATCTGCACCCTGCATGCAGCCCTCAGCCCAGTTTCAGGTGGCCCTTGGCCTGATTCATGTGGTTGGGGAGCAGTGGCGTCAGGTACAGTGGTGCCCCGCAAGACGAATGCCTCGCAAGACAAAAAACTCGCTAGACGAAAGGGTTTTCCGTTTTTTGAGTCGTTCCGCAAGACGAATTTCCCTATGGGCTTGCTTCGCAAGACGAAACGTCTTGCGAGTTCTTGCGAGTTTGTTTCCTTTTTCTTAAAGCCGCTAAGCCGTTAATAGCCGCTAAGCCGCTAAGCCGCTAATAGTCGCTAAGCCGCTAATAGCCGCTAAGCCTCTAAGCCGCTAATAGCTGTGCTTCGCAAGACGAAAAACCGCAAGACGAAGAGACTCGTGGAACGGATTAATTTCGTCTTGCGAGGCACCACTGTATAAGGGGCGGAGGAGGCTTCAAATCCCCCAATATTTTTTGTCAGGTGGCAGTGCCCCACCAATATTGAGGGGACCCCCCATCGCTGCCGCTGGGTGCCCTCCGTGCTCCCCAGCCTCTGCCTGGCAGCCCAGGAGCCAATCAGCGGCTGGGATGAGCAGGCATGGAGATCGCCCTCTGCACATCCTGCCCCACCTGGGGCATCCCAGGCACCGTCACGTGTCATGCGACAGCACCCCCTCAATGTGGGGGGGCATGCTGGCTTCCCTGCTGGAGAGGAGGGAAAATATGAAGGTAGCAAGGAAAGAGAGAGAAAGGAGTGCCCCCACCTGTAGGATTGTTGACATGTCTGCTTAGCAAATTCGTGCTAACTGCAGTGTCAGGTCTTCAACATCTGGCAATGAAGTTTAGTTTGCCTAGCACACTTCTGTACAGTGTAGTGTCAGAAAATGCTTCTTCAGTATCATCCACCTGATAACATGTTGTCATTGGCGTGTCTACAGGGTTAGCATCCATCAGGTTCAGTTTGGTTAACACATCAGCATTTTTCTGACCCTATTGAGTCTGGCCCCTTCCATTTCGGGCTCTGATCCCATCCACTTTTGACTCTAGCCCCAACCACCATCTGTATGTGGGCCCCCTTGAGGGAATGTAACCCTTGTCAGGCGAAAAGCCTCCCCACCCCAATGTGGGGCATTTGTCTCCCTCTAAGGTAGATAGTGTGCTCTGTCCTTAGGGAGACCTTTTAATAATAATAATAATAATAATAATATATTTTTATTTATTTATACCCCGCCCATCTGGCTGGGTTTCCCCAGCCACTCTGGGCAGCTTCCAAACACTAAAATACAGTGGTCTGTTAAACATTAAAAGCTTCCCTAAACAGGGCTGCCTTCAGATGTCTTCTAAAAGTCTGGTAGTTGTTCTTCTCTTTGACACCTGGTGGGAGGGCGTTCCACAGGGCAGGTGCCACTACCGAGAAGGCCCTCTGCCTGGATCCCTGTAACCTCACTTCTCGCAGTGAGGGAACCTCCAGAAGGCCCTTGGCACTGGACCTCAGTATGTGGGCAGAACGATGGGGGTAGAGACACTCCTTCAGGTATACTGGACCAAGGCCGTTTAGGGCTTTCAAGGTCAGCACCAACACTTTGAATTGTGCTCAGAAATGTACTGGGAGCCAATGTAGATCTTTCAAGGCCAGTATTATGTGGTTTCGGCGGCCGCTCCCAGCCACCAGTCTAGCTGCTGCATTCTGGATTAGCTGTAGTTTCCGAGTCACCTTCAAAGAGGTAGAGTGCATAGAGCGCATTAAGAGAGGGCCCACACACCCAAGACACTCCTCTCCCCAGTCATTACCCAGCGCACCTCAGATTGTGGGGACACCTCGAGAAGAGTCTGAATGTGGTGTGGACAGGTTCATGTGGGAGTAAGTACTTGGAACCCAAGCTGTAACTGCCAGCACTTTCCATTGTGATCAGACACAGACTAGTGCAGGGGTCAGCCAACCTTTTCAGCAGGGAGCTGGTCCACTGTCCCTCAGACCTTGTGGGGAGCCGGACTACACTTAGGTGGGGGGGAAATGAACAAATTCCTATGCCCCACATTTTAAATAAAGGGACACATTCTACTCATGTAAAAACATACTGATTCCCGGACCGTCCATGGGCCAGATTTAGAAGGTGATTGGGCCGGGGTAAATGTTTGAGCGGGAAATAATATATTTATGTGAAACTGCTAGTAAAAGAGGGAGCTGTTGAGGCGGGAGGTATAAGAGTGGTATACGGTAAGGGGAGACGGAGAAAATATAGGAATATAAGGAATATAAGATGTCACACACGGTGAAGAAGGGTATGAATGGGGGGACCCCCGGAGAAAGGAGGGGATCTAAACAAGAACCTGACCCTAAGACAGATATTATGAAAATGCTAGTGGAAATTAAACAGAGTCAAAACAACTTAGAGCAGAAACTAGAACAAGTAGATAGTAAAATCGGAAATATGGACAAAAAGATTGATGAAACAGTAAACGAAATTAAAGGCCAGATAAAGAAATATTTAGAAGAACGCAAAATGTAGAGGAAGGGGTGAAGAAGACAAGATTGGAATTAAAGGATATCAAACGGGATAAGGAAAGAATTAAAGCTGAAATGTCGGATTTGAATAAAGCGCAAGAGGAGATAAAAGATGTTATTGCAATGAATGAACTCCGACAGAGAGAGGCGAATCTTAGGCTGAGAGCCATCCCGGAGATACAAGGTGAGAATATTAAGGAAAAACTGATAAAAGAACTGGCGGCCTGGATGGATGTGTCAGCAGAAGAAATGACTGGAAATGTGCAGAATGCATTCAGAATGCGTGTTAAAACATCAAAACCCAAAAAATTTACAGGTGACTGTTTGATAACATTTAGGGACAAAGAATTTCGAAATAAGGTGTTGCAAAGGAATAGGGAAAAAAGACTGAATATAGGGGGAAATTACATAATCATCTTTAAAGATGTCCCAATTAGACTACTTAAACGAAGAGACTTCTACAAACCACTAGCACAGACTTTGAAGAGGAATAGAATCGAATTCAGATGGGAATTTCCCGAAGGAATATCATTTGAATACAGAGGGAAAAGACATAGATTATTAAATCCAGAAGAGACCGGGAAATTCCTGAGGAAGTATAAGGAATTAAGAACAGAGGAGGGTGGAGCAAGAGAAGTAGAGGAAGGATCACCTAGAATCACGAGAACAGAGGACGAACAAGAAGCGAACGGAAGCGGATCAGAAGAGGAGGAAGAAGAAGAAGGGGAGGAAGAAAACACAGAAAACCAATAAAGGAAAGAGAGAGGGAAAAAGGAGGGGAAAGAGGGAAAAAGAGACAAAAGTTTAGTGAATGTCAGGCATTATGGGGTTAAGAATTTTGAGTTGGAATGTTAATGGAATGAATGAGAAAAAAAAGAGGAATAAAATTGAGCAATTCTTGAAAAAGAAAAATTTGGATATCATTTGTCTCCAAGAGACGCATGTGGCTAAAAAACACAAAAAATTGCTAATTAACAAAAGATTGGGAATAGAATTTGAGTCCTCCGATAGAGAAAAGAAAAGAGGGGTTGTGTTGTATATTAAAAAAAGATTGAAGCTAAACAAATATTCAGAGATGAGGAGGGGAGGATGGTCGCTGTACGGATTAGTTGGCAAGGTGAGAGTTTGATTGTGATTGGGATTTATGCACCAAATAATAATAAGACCGATTTCTATAAACACCTCGAAACGAAAATTGTGGAATACATGGATCAGAGAATCATCCTTATGGGGGACATGAATGGTGTAGTATCCTTAGAAATGGATAGACTGAGGGAAGGAGTAAGTAAAGAAGGGAAATTGCCAAAATCATTTTTCTCAATGGTTAAAAACTGTAATCTGATGGATATTTGGCGTCTCAGAAAACTTTTATTGTATATATGGTGTATCTGTTTTGTGCTGTTATTTCTTTTCTTTATTCTTTGGCTTTGGTATTTCATTCTTTTTTTTACTTTTGGAAAATTAATAAATACTTATCTGCAAAAAAAAAAAAAATAGAAGGTGATTGGGCCGGATCCAGCCCCTGGGCCTTAGTTTGCCTACCCATAGACTAGTGCCTCATGATGTTTAGCCGGAATCTCCTTTCATAGAAGCGTAGAATGGTAGAGTTGGAAGGGACCCCAATTCTACAATTCTATAATTCTTTGAACTCCAGTCTCTGTGATACTTTAGATGTTGTTGTTTAGTTGTTTAGTCGTGTCTGACTCTTCGTGACCCCCTGGACCAGAGCACGCCAGGCACTTCTGTCCTCCACTGCCTCCCGCAGTTTGATCAAATTCATGCTGGTAGCTTCAAGAACACCATCCAACCATCTCATCCTCTATCGTCCCCTTCTCCTTGTGCCCTCCATCTTTCCCAACATCAGGGTCTTTTCCAGGGAGTCTTCTCTTCTCATGAGGTGGCCAAAGTATTGGAGCCTCAGCTTCACGATCTGTCCTTCAGTGAGCACTCAGGGCTGATTTCCTTAAGAATGGATACGTTTGATCTTCTTGCAGTCCATGGGACTCTCAAGAGTCTCCTCCAGCACCATAATTCAAAAGCATCCATTCTTCAGCGATCAGCCTTCTTTATGGTCCAGCTCTCACTTCCATACATCACTACTGGGAAAACCATAGCTTTTACTATATGGACCTTTGTTGGCAAGGTGATGTCTCTACTTTTTAAGATGCTGTCTAGGATACTTTGGATACTATCCTTCAAATGTGATGCTATGTCAGAATCAAAACAAGCCGGAGATGCCAACACACCAAAAGAACTCCGATTTCAAATGTTCTGGGTAGAGCATGGGTGTGACACTTGTCTTGCGAATGCTAAATGTTCCAGACCTTTGCATGCTTGGCACCAGACTGCACACTCCTGACTCTAACCATGCTGCTATTT